ATTGCAAGGTTGGTTAAGGTTGTTTATTGTTTTTGTTGTTATGAGCAGTGCAAATAGATTATTATGTAAACGTAAGCTGTTAGAATTGAAAATGAAAGAAAATGATAATCCCGTTGATTTTTTTAATACTTTCGAAAAATATATAAATGAATTAAAATATGCAGGAGAGGAAGTTAAACAAGAAGATAAACTGAATTACTTGTTACTTTGTTTACCAGAATGTTTTCTCACATATAGTGGATATTGTGGATGCTTTGCCGCAGAAGGATCAATCAGTGGAATATGTAAAGTCAAAGCTAATGTTGGAATATAAAAAGAAGGAATCTACAAATTATAGTCAACAGTCGTTCAGTTCTCAAACTAAACAGAATGGTACAGTAAAATATAATAAATTTAGGCAAGATAGAAGAGGTATTGTTTGCCATAAATGTCACCAGCCAGGCCACATTCAAAAATTTTGTCCAACTTTAAAATATAATTTCAGTAATAATAATACAAATAATTACAATAACTACCGTAGAGGATATGGAAGAGGAAGATTTCGAAGGAACAATTTTAGAAGAATAGCAGGCACTTCATCAGCGAATAATACAAGTCAAAGTAATTTTAATGTAAGGGTAATGTCATCTGAGGTAAATTCAATAAGTGAATGTCAAGCTAACAGTCCAATAGTGTCATGGTTATTAGATAGTGGCTGCTCAGACCACATTATAAATGATGAACAATATTATTGTCAAAGTAAAAATTTAGAGCATTCTGTAGACATTAAGGTAGGTGATGGTTTTTTCTTTAAAAGCAAGTAAAATAGGAAATATCTGTATGTTATTTAATGTTAATGGTAAATGGCATAGAACTATGATTAATAATGTTTATTATGTACCAAGTATGAAACAAAACTTGCTTAGTGTATCATGCATCACTTCTCATAATAATATGTTTAATAATAGTTTTTAACAGTGGTAGTGCTGAAATTTATGATAATAGAAATAAGTTAATTGCTGTAGCATTAAAGAAAAATAAATTGTTTGAATTGTCAGGAAAAGTAAATTTAAAAAAATATGTTTCTGAATCATACACAAGTACTAGTAATATGACAAATAAAGAGTTGTGGCATAGAATTCTCGGTCATACCAACTTTAATAGTTTAAAAGAATTAAGTAAGCTTCAGTTGTTAGATGGTTTTCCTACTAATATTGAAAATGATTATATAACATGTGAAATATGTTTGGAAAATAAGATGTGTAATTTACCATTTGAAAATAACAGATATCGAGCAAAAGATTTGTTGGAAATCATACATTCGGATGTCCATGGTCCAGTGTGAGATATTTTGTCACTTTTATTGATGATTTCAGTAGAATAGCAATAGTATATTGTATTAAAAACAAAAGTGAAGTTTATGATTGTTTTTTAAAGTATATAAAATTAGTACAGAATCAAACTGGAAAGCGAATAAAGGAAATAAGATGTGATAATGGACGTGAATATATTAATAATGATTTTTACAGACTAGCTAAAGATGAAGGAATTTATTTAAAACCAGCCCCTCCATATACACATGAATTAAATGGTGTTGTTGAGAGGTATAATAGAACAATATTAAATCGTGCTAGGTGTTTACTTGCTGAGGCAAAAATAGATAAGAAATATTGGCCTGAGTGCATACTTACATCTGCTTATTTAGGAAATAGACTTTTAACTAATACAATAAGTAAGAAAACTCCATATGAAATATTTTTTGGAAGGAAACCTAATGTGTCAAATTTAAAAATTTATGGTAGCGTTGCATATGTTAGAATTCCTGAAGAACGAAGAAGTTCAAAGTTGAATCCAAAGGCTGTAAAAGGTATTCTTGTAGGTTTTACTGATACAGGATATAAGATACTAGTGGAAAATAAAATTATAATAAGTAGGCATGTAACATTTTTAGAAAAGGATAAAAAATGTATAAAGATGATTAATGAAGATGAAGAAGAGTAAATTGAGGTCTTAAATGAACAAAATAGAAAACAACGACAAATTAATCAAGAAAAGGAAAGTAGTGAGAATGAAAAAGTTAAGGAGGTGAGTGATAGAAGATATCCTCAAAGTAATTGAAGGATGCCAACCAAATATGATGATTATGTTGTATATGTAAATTTTTCCAATGCATTTGTGCCGGAGAGCTATCAAGAAGCTATGAATAGCTTAGAATCAAAAAAATGGAAAAAGGCAATGAATGATGAGATTAATAGTTTGATTGAAAATAAAACATGGGATATTGTTGATGAACCTGAGGATAAAAACATTATAGAAGTAAAGTGGATTTATAGAATCAAGTCAAATGGGAATTATAAAGCAAGAGTAGTTGCTAAAGGTTTTCAACAAATTTATGATCAAAATGAAGAAATTTATTCACCGGTGGCCAGAATGACAACTGTAAAAGTTTTATTATCTGCAGCATGTATTAAAGGATGGCAAATTGAACAGATGGACGTAGAGACTGCATTTTTACATGGTAAGATTAAATCTGAAGTTTATATATATCCACCTGATGGTTATGAAGTTGAACCAAATAAAGTTTGTTTATTGCGTAAATCTCTATATGGATTAAGAGAGAGTCCTCGTGATTGGTATGAATGTTTCCATGAATTTATGATGAGTATGAACTTTAAAAGATCTGATTATGACTATTGTTTATATATTGGGAGTGAAAATAGTACATACATAATGTTATATGTAGATGATATATTAATACTGGGTCAAAATATTTCTGATATTGAAAATGTAAAACAAATGTTAAATAGACGTTTCCATATGAAAGACTTAGGAAGATTGAAGCATTACTTGGGAATAGATATTGAATATAATCCTGAAGAAAATAAGTTGTATTTAAATCAGGAGAATTATATTAAGAGTTTAGCTGAAAAATATAAAGTAACAGATTGCAAAAAATATGAGACACCAATGGAAATTAATCTTAAATTAGAATATGCTGAAATAAGTAATGAAAACTTAAAATATAGAAATTTAATAGGAGCTTTGTTGTATATTGCAAATGGTACTCGACCAGGTATATCTTTTGCAACCAATTATTTAAGTCGCTTTCAGAGAGCTTATAATGAGACTCACTATAAGTATGCTTTGCGTGTGTTAAAATATTTGTATTATACTCGGTCTTTAAAGCTGCACTATAATTCTAGTTATAATGATGTTATGGATATTTATGTAGATGCTGATTGGGCAGCTGATGTTTCAGATAGAAAGTCAACTACTGGATTTTTAATAAGAATATTTGGGAATGTTGTGTTATGGAAGTCCCAAAAACAGAAAATTGTTACTAGAGCTTCTACACATGCAGAATACTATGCTCTTGCTGATTGTGTTGAGGAGGTACTGCCTATTAAAGGAGTCTTAAAAGACATAGGTATTATTGTTGATAAGCCTGTTAACATTTATGAGGATAATACTGGTGCTATTTCATTGGCAAAAAGTGGTAAATTTTGTAAAAATTCTAAGCATATTGATATAAGCTATCATTTTGTATATGATTTTGAAAAGAAGGGTTTAATAAATGTACAAAAGATTTCAACTGATGATCAAATAGCAGACATTTTAACAAAGTCTCTAGGTAAAATTAAATTTAAAAAGTTTAGATATTTGCTAGGTGTTTATGAGTGATTGTGTTTAAAGTAAAATATTGTCAAAGGTTAAGTTTTAGGTTGTTTATGTTTATTGCAAGGTTGGTTAAGGTTGTTTATTGTTTTGTTGTTAAAGTTTAATTTAGAGGCACAAAATCAAGGTGTGTTGAGAATATGATTTTGTACCTTGTAACATTGCTATTGTTTTAGTTGCTCTGTGACTGCATAGACAAAAAACTACTCTGTGTAATTGGTCAAGATGGTGTAGTTGTGATTTGAAGATGATTAAGTTGATTATTGTAATTAAGTAGTATCATGTGAAACCTAGTATAAAGTGTTAAATGATGTAAGTTAAACAGAATAAACCAATCATGAAAGCAGAGCTGCATATTTATTTTGATCCACGGAAACACATTTTCTAACACCATTCATAAGTCACCGATGAGCACGTGATAAGTTACCGATGAAAACTTATAAAAGTCGGCACTTAAAAATATCTATTTCATTGCAATTGATAATTTTGGCGCTCACAAGTATGAATCGCTTACCTATAAAGAGACGGCGATACGGCGATAAAATATTAACCTTATCGCGAAGTCATGGATCTTTTTTATTTGTATTTCAATAAAGAATATAAAAAAACTGTCCAGTTGAAAAATAACAATTCTTTGCAATTGTTTAAACAATTTCGGTTTAAACAAAATGGCACTGGGGTTGCCCCGTGGCAACATACATACATATCATCGGTAGGGCAATGTAAAGAGGATCGGATAAAAATGAGGTGGAATAGTTTCCCTCCCGTAATCATGCGCCGATTCCTCCTGGGCTTTCTAGCTCTTTTGAAGAGCATTATTTTATATAATAGCATACCTTTATATAATAGCCAAAATCACTGCTCTGGAGTGAATCAGCTAGCCTGACTCATTCAAAACAGGTGATTCAGAGCTTTGCTAACCAAAATTTGCTGCCGAGGTACTTGAAACTGTTGTAGACTATCCAAGAAAAAAAAGAACCCATTCTGTAGTAACTGTGATGACGGGGAAATACTGATTCACATAATTTGTTAATGCGATGCCAATATTAATCAAGATTATACGGCCAATATTAGGAGTCGGGAACTTGGTAACCAAGTATGCTCTAATCGATGTACTAGTATGCACTGACTGTTATTGAACGTCAACTTCGTTACGGTTGGAGGTTTTGAGAAGGCTATCTAATTTGAAAGGAGGACTACATTTGATCTTCTAGGTCACTAGACGTTATTATCCAACCATATTCGTACAAATCATAATCAAGGCAGTATCATAAAATGTAAGTAAGTATCATAAAATTACATGAGAATGGCAACAATATAAAAAAACAGTAAGTCATTTATCTTTATTTACAATATCTGTCGGCTTTCATTTTGCTCCTCCTATCCAGTAGGGTCTCGTGCAGGTTTCCATCAATCTTGGCTCTTTTTAATTCCACTACGCCACCATCATTTAGTCGCAGTTTCTTGTCTTGAAATTTTTGGAATTTCTTTCTGTGTGTAATTAAAATGTAAACATAATAATTATACAAGACATTTACATAAGAGATATATTCTTCTGATGCCTGTTAATAATGTAATAGTCAACAATCACCATCATCATTTCACTTTCTTTCCTTCCTGCACCACATCAATTCATTTCCAGGCTGTGTTATCATTTAAAATATAATCACTAATAATAGCCACACAATATCAAACACACAAACTTTCCTTTACAATTATTTGAATTCAACAATTGATACATTGTGAACATTTTCTTTGTTATAAAAATGTATATGTTGAATACCTTAAAAGAATTACTTATTCTATGCAGTCAATTAATTTGTTTATTTCATGTTCATTACATTATGCACATTACCATGTCTTATTTTAATGGACAATACATAAAATTTTCAAGCACCTATATACTGAGAAACAACAGTCAATGATTTTAAAATTTGATTTTGACTTATAAATTTTCCAATTTGTTTTAGAACTATTACATGCCATTACAAGTGCATTAGTAGAGAGTGGTGGATTTATGTTCACTCATGAGCGCCGAGCAGTCGAAATTCAAGCATAATTAATTTAAATTATAAGTTTGAACAGTATTAATCTATTCTCAAATACAATACAATATAAACTGTAAGTGTGGGAAATTTCATACTCCTCCGTCCGCGCAAGTTTCGTTTGTATAATATTTCCTTTTTAAGTACTGCTATAAATTTGCCAAAGCAATTAATAATTTCATGAATAATACTCACACATAATTGACTTCCACTTCGGCCAGATCAGCTTGCTCCTCGTCAGGCATCACTGCCTTATTATTTTCCTTGGTCTTGTTGCTACGGAGGTTGCAGAACTCCTGTTCACCAGCAGTGAGTGAATTCACTACTACTGAATCGTCATCAGGGTTGACTGATATGAACTTGTTGAGGGAACTGAGTATTGCTGTGCGTCCTTAATAAATATTGTATTAAACAATTTATTTATGGCAGCTTAATGTTAATGAAAAAAGGTACCAAATAGGGCATTGATAATGGCATTTTCTAAGTCTACTATAAGTACCAAGTAGTATAATGTTATGGTCAGAAGAATAAGAAGATTGATGGAAAATATAAAAAAAGTAATTCATTTTTCTAAGCACATAATTATACAATAATACTGTCAAGTGTAATACAAAATCATTAGGTATATAAAAACTTAGATGAAATCAAACAAATAAATTTATCGAATTGAGCAAAGAGTTGAATTTATGTAGGTAATAACCATCTTGAAAAACTGGCTCCCATTGCTCCATTGGTCCCACGGCATCAGATCTACCAATTACCACCCCATCTTTGGAAACTCCTAAATATTTGCCATAACCAGATTTCACTGCAAATTTGCTGTCACCAGCTGGGAATGCAGTGAATATTTCTTCAGGTGAAGGCCCATCACCCTCATCATGTGGTGCTCCGAGTGTAAACAATCCTGGAAATAAAGGATAATGGGTACTTTTTTTATATTCAAATTTATAATTCAATTTATCTGGCGATATGCAGCAATATTTTTTATACAGCGTGTCGTTACCATCGCGACAATAAATGAACACACATATAGGGGATAAATTTTTAAAGTTGTATTAAACATTTAAATTCTTTAAACATCTATATTTACAGAGTTATTAAATTTTCCAAAACAAAGAATTTTAGAACACCCTCACCTATAAAAGCGTAACGTAAAGTTCATTTGTAAAGGTCACAAAGCATATGAATGGGTTGAATGAATTTAAAAGAGACAAAACATACTGTTAGAAGGAGAGGCTTGTAATAAGATGCTGTGGCGCGAGTTGTATAGGTGTTACAAATTTTGTTTCTTTTTTACTTAGTTTGTTTGAAAAAATTTTTTTTTAATTATGGATATTGTTTAACGTTAATATTTTTTTATGATTATTGGCACGTAGCGTTAGACGTCTGTTGATTTATTGTCGCGATGGTAACGACACGCTGTATATGGAGCCGAAACGTGGACTGTCAAGAGTAGAGAGAGACAACGGATTGATGCCTTTGAGATGTGGTGTTGGAGGATCTTTTCAAAGAGGTTAATATACTCTTGCTTCTCAAAACATTTATTGTAATATTTGTATATACTCATAACCTTTATTATTACCTAAAGAATAGTGACAGACAAAATAAACACTAGAAATAAGGACCAACTTACTACACCATTGTTTCGTCTACAAAAAGTAAATAGGTCATTCACGGGGCAAAGTGTGCGCATGTATAATAAAATCCCACAGTCGATATTAAGTCTGCCGCTTGACCAATTTAAATGTAAAATTAAAAATCAACTAATGATTAAAGCATATTATACCATTTCGGAATATCTCGATGACGCCAATGTGTGGAGTTAATACTGTTGATACTCACGTAGGCTAGAATAAGACTATTATACCTGTATATTATATTGTACCCTGATATTTTTGAAAAAGAGCAACTGTTGAGTTTCTTGCCGGTCTCTTCTCAACAGATACTGCTTTCCGAACCGGTGGTACCTTACGAAACTATATACATAATCTTTGATGTAAAATTTGACGATTCATAAGAGCGCGGAAGCGTCTATTTGAATAAATATATTTTTGATTTTGATTTTGAATACCATGGACAGCCAGACGCACCAATCAGTCCATACTGTCGGAGCTCAACATCAAGACGTGACTGTCCACAATCTGCGAGCAACGGTTCCTTAGTTACTTTGGCCACATAATGAGAAGAGACGAAAGCTTGGAAAAGTTGATTGTTGTTGGAAACACTGAAGGCAAAAGATCACGTGGCCAATCTCCAGCACGATGGACTGACCAGCTCAAGGACACAGAACCGTCTCCGAAATTCTGCGATATGGTTAGAACCGCGATTGACCGGAATTGATGGAGAGATCTCATTCGTGCTGGAACGACGACCGCCAACTACGATCATCAGACATGATGAAAACAACCAGAAAGAAGATGCCGCAATAGGTTGGTATTTGCAAAAGACTATTTCTATTATAAAACAAAAATTGTACATGCTCCTGATAACCTCCTAAATATTTAGAAAAAAATTTAGTTGTTACCAGTATACTAAAGCAGCCCTAATTTAATGAAGTTGACACAAAGAGTAGGCTCAATATACAATTATGATTAGGCCTACGTAAGTCACAAAATTTTTTCAAACCATTGTCTAGTGCTGATACATAAGTATTTTTGCCAAACTCAATGCATATGGATCCACTGACATCTTCAATCTTGTTTACACGCCACCATCCCCCATGATTTACACAATCCTCATCTACTTTTGATTCTTTATTTTTATCTTTCTTTTTGTGTTTGCGTTTCTTTGCCCTGGAAAAAAAATCAATGCTATTAAAATCGCCTTAACGTGGTTTACTGTCGTTATGTATAAAATATGAAGATTAACGCCCAGTTTCTGAAACACTGATCATTGTAGAAGTAAAATAATCGACTGTCAAATTGCTTTTCAAATGTTATTTGAGTTGCCAAAAGGATTGTAAAACTCCCTGAATTGATCAGAATGATCTATTAATGATCAGAATATAGAAAACTCAAATAACATATGAAAAGTTGTCAAATAACTTTTGCTGATTAGTTGACTTTTACGATGATCAGTGTTTCAGAAACCGGTCGTTAGGCTACATAACCAAATGCTACCATTTTAATTACAAAACTTTAAACTAATGTAAGTGGTTTCAGCATAAGTTTTATATAGCATCAGCACTTACTTCGGTTTATCACCCTTGAAAATCAATTTGCCTCTCTTTACAGCAGCGTATTCATCACTCATGATTAAGATGATGAAAAAATATAGCTAAATAATAGCAATTAATTTATCGTGTGTAATCAAATGAATCAAAATCAATGATAGAAAATATAGAATCATATAATATAAATAAATGAGTGAGAATGACAAACTGACAAATGCGGACTGGCAGTGGCAAAGCAAACTGGCAAGTGACAACAAAATGTCATTTAGTCCAGTATCAAAAAACTGTAATGTATTATCTATGATCTAATCTATGGTCTATTTTATGCACTACGGATTATTTTGCCAGTTTGTGTAATGATTACTTTGTTTCATATATCTTAGCTATAATAAATTTAAAATTTTTATAAACTCTACCTCATCCTCAATGTCACACATGAGTTGGGACGAGAAAATGGGATGCACCTCAATGTTTGTTTACATTTACGCTAAAGTGATTAATGCCCGGTTCCTATAATCAACGAACGGCCGTTAGTTACATAGCTTCGTAACTTTCATAACAACTTGTAGATTAAAGGAACGCTAGTATCTCACTACCGTACAAAAAACGCCTCCTTTTGTTAATATAGGAACCTGGCGTATACGTTAGTAGTTAAGAAAACAAGTCGTGGAAGTCCCATGTGAGCGTAACCCGATGGCCACTCCCAAGTCACATCTCTGCCCTACGGATATACATAACCTATTTAATGGAAACTGCCCTGCACTGATTGCGGGTGACCTCATTGCCAAACACTTGGCTTAGGGTTCGCGGCTAATCAGTCCGACGGAGCGAGCAATATACGCGGATTCGGAGTCGTGGAGATATGATGTGTTGGGTCCTTCAGAACAAACACACTACCCCACGCGTTCGTTCGTGCCTATGTTATAGACATAGTACTACTACATGGCTGGGGTCGTCCGTTAAAGTTTGAGGTGCTCTACGACGTAGACTCGCAACATTTACCCGTAATAATCTCGCTCCATACGGGGGCCGCTAATGTAGTGAGTAGACAACTTAGAATACGGAACAATTGGGGTAAGTTTCAATCCATGCTAAAAGATTTTTCGCTGCCAGAACACGTTATCACACCGGGGACGCTGAAAACACTGCTGTTAAACTTAGCCAACGCATAACGGAGGCTAAGGAGGTGGCCTTGAAACCAGTTCTGAAACTAACCCGCAACGATATACTTCCCATGCACTTGCGCATTCAATTAAAGCGCAAGCGACCGCTACGTAAATTATGGTCACGCACTCGTTGTCCAAGCGAGAGCTAAATCACCTATTCAAAAAGCTGTCGGAGCAGGTGAAAAACCGCCGAGGTGAGCTGTGGGAGCGGCGTATTGATGCCGCAGGTGAACATCCTCCGTCGCTCCACCTCCTGAACCGACAGCTATCGTGTGCTAAACAGTCCGTATATCCACTCAGTAACGATGTGGGTCTGCATTGTCATAGTGCTCAGGAACGCGCGGACATCTTAGCCGTACACTTAGAAGGTTAGTTTAAACTGAACCCAGTAAACACCACTGATTATCCTATCGTCGCGCATCATAATCTGGTGAAAAACTTGAGAACTTGGAGAAGTGACATTTATGTCAATATCCGCAGTGTATACCAATGACATCCCCACCCTGGAAGGTCGGGGAGGGTGAGAGAGGAGTTTTCCTAGCGTTAAATTCCAACGATAGTGCGTATTTTTCGTCATCTCGTCGGTTCGAAGTAGCAATTCAGAGTAAGTAGAATGCAGAGGCTGTTGAACCTGCTTCCTGAGTGGCTGGATAAATGGCGGATCGTCTTAAACGTCGAGACGACGACCACATACTCGACTGCGCGTGTAACTGTGTCGACGCCATGATTAGTTCTTCGAGGGTAGAGCATCGAATGGCGGTTCACCGTGACTTATCTCGGGTGTACGATAGACCGTGCGCTAAGCCTAGTCCCCCAAGTGGATCACGTTATCCGCCAAACTTTTTTTTTATGCGAAAAGTTGCCAAACGAGCAGACGCTTCACCTAATGGTAAGTGAATACCGCCGCCCATGAACATCTGCTACACCCGGGTGCTTTTGTAAGGTCGTGGTACCCACCCGGACGGGCCTGCCCATTCGTGCAACAGCCGAGGCTGCTACCACCGTGAAAATTTTAAATGTAGGTAAATACAGTAAGTATTTATTTATTTTAAGACTTCATGCACATAACTCTGTACATAGGCGGACTTAATGCTGACAGCATTTTCTACCAGTCAACTTTAGGGTGGTACCGAGATTTTGAGGTAGGTGCACAAACATTTAAAATATAAATATTATACTAATTACACAAAAATATATACATAATACAATACAATTAAATAAAAGTTTACATATATATAAATACTGTACTATAAATATATACATATTTATAAATATATACACAAATACGCATACATATTTTTATTTTATCTGATGATGTCATGAAACTGCTGGCAGCTTTCCCAAAATGTACTTCCGTGCCATTCTCTTAAACGCAAGGCGATTCTTAGCCATTCTGATTTTGGGAGGAAGCTCATTCCAAAGAAGGATAGATTGAACAAAGAAAGAGGAATGGATAAAGTCAGACTGATGAGGAGGTCAGAACAGAAGGCTTACTTACTTACATACATCAATAAAATACCTACTTTTTATTTGTATCTATGATTATAAAGTAACTTACAGTAACAGCCTATAAACATCCCACTGCTGGGCAAAGGCCTCCTCTATACAGAGGGTATCAGTACATAGTCCACCACGCGGCCCCACTGCGGATTGGCTGACTTCACATATCTTCGAAATATATATATTTTTTGTTATTATTTCGAAAATATGCAAGTTTCTTCACGGTGTTTTCTTTCACCGCGAAAAACGTGATAAGTCAGCACTTAAAGTTAAAAACTTCATTGCTGCCGGCACTGGGGATCGAACTTAGGTTGCTCGAGTATATTGAAGTACTTGGAGGACCGAGCTCTGCTCGGTTTGTTTTTTTTTTGGTAAATCGTGTATTTTGGAAATTACATTTAGATACAAATTACTAAGTAATGAAATATGCATAATATGTTTCGATCTTACCGACGTAATAATAAGAAAATATGAACTGGTGTTTTTCACAAAAGAAAGAACTTTAAAAAAAAGGGAAAAAAAAAAATAACAAAATAACAAATCGACAAAAAATAAAAGATAAAGAAAACAATGATCTGGAAACGAAAAAAAAGTAAAAAAATAAGTATCTTGTATCTTGTATTAACTGATGTTTTTGCTTTCAGTCCCGAGACTATTAAAGCTTCATCTGACGCAGAACCGGTGGGCTAGCCAGAACTCACGGGTTTGGGCCCTCCGCTGTGGGTAGGGCCGCGCATGTGCTCATGCGTGCGTTTAACTACGACATGTCACCTAAGGGCCATCGAAGTTGCGGTGCGGACCGAGACCCCGATGGCCGTCGACTGTGTTTTTAGCTAATCGGTGGCTGGGGGCGGTGAGAACCGCCCTGGAACGCGGGTGTACCTTGTGTACGCGTTGTGTTGGTCTCGCTGTGCTCGGAGGCGAGGGCGAACAAGTGTGTTTGTTGTTGCACTAACTGTGGGTGTAGTGTTGTCCGGCGGGACCCCCGGCGGTGGGTCCGGCGTATCTAAGTCCCCTTCCTCGACCGGTTTGATGAGGACGTTTCGCGGGCGACGCTTGTTGACGTTCGCATTTGTGTCGGGTTGGTAATTTGCTGCGCTTACCACCAGAGGGTTGGGATGATGTTCGACTCTATCGAAGAACCGTTTGGTCAGGTTTTTAAAATATTCGTGAATCGTCGGGAGTCTGCAATCGCTGTGCAGATCGACGTTCCGTTGATACCACTGTGCACCAGTTGCACGGCGGATGAACTTATTTTGTACTATTTGCAGCTTGTACAAGCGAGTAGGGTGCGTGTGGGCGAAGATCATGCATGCGTAGGATATAATAGGTCGTACGCAGGTCTTATATAATAATAATTTGTGCCTTAAGGGCATTTTACTTTTAGCGTTAGTTAAATTGTGTAGTCGGCCGGAGACGAACGCGGCTCTATTACGAACGTTATTAATGTGCGTAGTAAATGACATACGCGAGTCGAAAGTGACTCCTAAGTATTTGACCTTTTTCTCCCAGGGGAGCGGTTGGCCATAAAGGGATATTTTTTTTTTTTTTACGTGGGAAAAGTCCTTTATGGATCCCCCGCTGCCTTGTGGGTAGGCAGCAGGGGTATGTGGGAGTTACATGTACCCACTAAAAAACCCACGTTGCACCTGCGCTATCGCTTTGCCGGGGACACGGGAACACGAGAACGCAATCTTCCGCGAACCCCGGCGCGATTGTGGCCATCGCCAACCGCCAGTAGGCGGTGTGCGATGGCTCGATGTCCTCTAGGAGATTGTCCCACGTTGTATGTCGGAAAAAATAAGTGTGTAAATGATCGTGATACGAACCACGGCCTTCTGTTTCGTGACTGTTTGTTAGCGGCCGCCCGATTACCGACCGAGCTATTATAACATTTTTTTTTTCGGTGAAATTTACCGTCGTATTCGAATAATATTTTTCATTCCCTAAAAACTGGGATAAAACGACATTTTCTTAAAAAGAAACCTAGTCAGATCGATTTTTCGCCAGCGAATCAACGCACATACTAAATTTCATGAAAATCGCTGGAGCCGTTTCCGAGATTCCAATTATATATATATATATATATATATATATACAAGAATTGCTCGTTTAAAGGATAAGATTAAAGGCGAGCGCCCGGACACTGAGCTATCACGGCTCTTATATATGATTAAAAAAATTAAATTATAACTTCTTGTCACTTGACCACGACTGTGACCGTCAAAGCCGGTCTAACAACAAACTTCACTTACATACAATTCCTAAATTAATTATTTATACATTCAATAAATATGCTTTTCCAAAATATCATATTTGCAAGCAAATAGGAAATAAAATTACAAGGATTTCAATTTCAAATACATTACCTTAGCTTGTATATTCTAGTAATACATTGGCAACCCCGGTATATGCTCGCCATTTTGCAATACTGAGCATGTTGACTGCTAACGAAAATGAGTTTCTTGACTCCAACAATTACATGGTAGTTTAAATAGTTTTACTCTATAAAGTTATTCATTTTGAAAGGTCAAATACAATAATGGATATGGCAGAAGTGAAGTCGTTCAACGCGGAGGTATTATTATTGGTTAATTCGATAGTGCATTATATTTTCCGTGGCATCATTTAGATGAATCTTTTATTTTCAGCTATCCGGGTTGTACGATAACAAACCTCCTATCTCGAAGGCCAAGATGAGCGCTATTACAAGAGGTGCTATAAAAGCTATAAAGTTTTATAAACATGTAGTTCACAGTGTAGAGAAGTTCATTCAGAAGTGTAAGCCAGAATATAAAGTTCCTGGTTTGTATGTGATAGATTCGATAGTGAGACAGTCTCGGCATCAATTTGGACAAGACAAAGATGTGTTTGCACCGCGATTTGCGAAGAATATGCAACAAACTTTTGCTAATTTGTTCAGGTGTCCACCAGAAGATAAGGTTAGTTATATTATGGCATATAGCATATAGGTTATAGTTTGATTTTTCGGTTAAACAGCATTATTGTGTTATTTTATAAATTTAGTAATTGTTTTAAGTAGGTGCATACGCGTTTCACGTATATTTAAAAAACATAACCAACATGATAATTTAAGAAGTGAAAATATGCACTGAAATTGACTTTAAACCCCTCCCCCCCCCCCCCCCCCCCCCCCCCCCTTGCCCCCCGCCCCCTCATACATAACATGAAATAAATAAATGTTCTACCTAATTTAACATCTTAATTTTTGATGTTTTTATTTACATATGACATTTAATCTAAGTAAATTTCTTGTTATGTAAATTAAAAACAATGTTTGTTTCTCAAAATTTGATTTATATTGATTTGATAATGTTTCTGTATCAATAATAAATAAAAGCACAAACAAATTTCAACTAGTCTTATTGACCATAGTGAAAATATGGTTTACTGCAATGGCTTGGTGACAAGGAAAATTAAAACCTTGTACTTTACCATCCAATAATACCGTATGTAGATTATCTTCCATATAAATTGAATGGTATTCAACTGTTGTTTGTAATAATTTAAAATCACTAAGAGGTTATCCTTCATATATTATATTTAAAAGATTTATTTGTTTTTCCAGCGTAATATAATTCGTGTATTGAACTTATGGCAGAAGAACAATGTATTTGGCCCAGAGGTTATACAGCCATTGATGGACATGGCAGATCCGAATCATCCACTGCATCAAGAAATACAACAACAACAGAATAATACTGCCAATGGTAGTAGTTTTATTATTGTAGTAAATTGGAACAATCACATAATTTAATAATCATCAAATTAACAATTCTTCTTGAATTTATAGCCCTGGGCATTAATAATTAATATAAACAAAGCTAATATATTATACAGGGAGAATTTACAAAAAGTGCCCAAATTTACACAGAAAGTATATAACTCTGTAATATAACTGTTTATTGAAATAAAAACAAACTTTTTTTCAAAAAAATTACCATTCTATTCTCTAAAAAACAGAACTTGTTGATAATGCGGTAGTCATGGTAGTTCATACACATTCATAAATACATAAATTTTACTAAATTTAGGTAGAACCATTCATACACATTTATTATATATATATATATATATATATATAAACCTTGTTCAAACGAACTTGTGTGCATGTTAGTTATGAATGATCGTGTGTAAAATAAATGAGTTGCATATAAATCACGAACATTTTGAGATAAGTTCAAATGAATTTAATTAATTACTTACAAGTGATTTAAAATATTTATCATTTTTTATATAACATTTATGTCTAGAATTTAATTTAATAAAATGGATACACTTAGAAAAGCCTCCCTGTATATTTAATGATAAATTTTATGCTTTTAAGTATATATAGTTACATGCTTGTGATTTTATTATTATATTTTTGTTCTTTTATGCAAACTGAGCACTTTTGAATAATAAATTTTATCCATAATGAATATAAATGTCTCATTTTCAGGGAGTAGTTTGAACATAACCCACAACACCACAGACAGCAAAATGTCACCCATGCCTGCATCACAACACACACCTCATACATCCTCTCCTATGGATGACCAGGTAATTATTATGTACAAGAAATCTGCAAAATTCCATATTATCTTGTAATAAAAATAATAGCCATTATTAGTGTTGTAATGTATTTGAAAGTTTTAATAACATTATAAAATGGAATAGCAAGTATTCCACTAATATTATGGTTTAAATCTTTTGCTATCTTAAACTCAGTCTGATTGATGGCTTATTTAGGGTAGTGAACATTAATAATTAAAAAAAGCTGCTTATACCAACTGCTGGACAACATAAAATTAAAGAATGCTTTATTTCTATTTCTTTTTTAAACTATTTTGAATAGTTTTCTAACATAGTGAGTATTGCTTTTTTTTTCTGAATGGTCCGCATTCTATTTTGTATATGTAAGATATACAAGTTTGAAAGTAACAAGATAAATTGAAATGAAACCAAACAAAGCCATAAAAATTTACTTATTTAAGATAAGAATAAAAATAATTTTGAAATTCGTGAAAGAGAGCATCAGAGCAGCAGTTAGTAATAAGTTAAATATGCTGCTAATCCCAAGTGGGGTCAGGTGGTAGATTATGCTGTCTATCTTCTGTACAGAGGTGGCCTTTGCCGATAATAATAAAATTGATGAGAAGTTAATGTTATAATAATGTTGCTTATTCTCAGTTCCAGGATCAGCAATCAGGTCCACCGCCTGGTGTAAAATTTAACCGCAAGCTTCTGAATGACTTTGAATATGAAAGTGAAGATGATGCAGTTGGTTCAGAACCAATGCCCTCCTCGGCGCACTCAACCCACTCGAGCCTTGGAACGCATGCCTCCAGCCAGCCGCACCAGCAGCACCAGTCCCACCCACCTCACCAATCCCATGCAACACACCCACCACACCAGTCGCATAACCCAACTGATGCCCTTGGAAGGTTTGAAGAACTTATCTTGATGTTATATACAACATATATAACTAATATTAGGAATATAATATAATTTTTTTTTGTAAAATATATTTAATTAATCAAAGTATGCACCGTTTTTATCTATGCACTTTTGCCATCTCTTAGGTAGTCTCATTGATCCCTTTACTAAAAAAACCATGGGGGCGAGAATCAATAAGCCGGTTTGGACTGCCACATTGGAGTTGAATTTTTTTTCTTGTAAAAAGTTGTCTAAATTCCGGTATAAATGGTTGTGTAGTGCTCTTGCATTGTCGTGAAGCAGCAGTGACCTTGAGCGATTGACCAATCTCGGTTGTATAGCAGCTAGTTCTTCCTTCATGGTTTGCAATTGCTGACAATAGATATCTGCTGTAAAAGTTTGGCCAGATTTTAGAAAGCTGTAGTGAAAGACACCGGCTAAAGAGGATACTTTCACAATAACCTTTAATTTCTGTAATAAAGCATGTTATAATAAAGCACTTTCAGTTCTACGGTGGTAGGGCCATGCAGCAGCCTCGGCTGTTGCACGAATGGGCAGGCCCGTCTGGGTAAGTACCACGACCTCACAGAAGACCAGCGTAAAGTGGAAGTTTGACAAATACTTTCGCGTTTCGTGTGGTGAGTGAGATAGCCGGAGCCCAATTTTCAAAAGGTCAACGCATCTGTAACCCTCGAGCGTGGCAGATGTCCATGGGCGGCGGTATTCACTTACCAGCAGGTGAACTGTCTGCTCGTTTGGCAACATTTCACATAAAAAAAAAGTAATAAAGCATGCAAAACATATATTTGTATCTAAACTATAAAAAAAAACGAACAAGTGCGAGTCGGACTCGCGCACAAAGGCTTTCGTACCATTATCTATTAAAATTTGATAGCTGATTCATTAACTTCTACAATGTTCAGTGTTTCAGAAACCGGGCGTAAGACTGGGGATGTAACACCCACTTAAATATTTTTTTATTCTGTTTTTTAGTATTTGTTGTTATAGCGGCAAAAGAAATACATCATTGTGTAAATTACAACTGTTTAACTATCAGGGTTCATGAGGTACAGCCTGGTGACTGACAGACAGGTGGTGGAGTCTTAGTAATAGGATCCCATTTTATACTTTGTGTATAGAATCCTAAAAAAGGGACCTTATTAACTAATTCATATGTATTTTTAAGTGGCAATGGGCCAGTCATATAGCTCGTACAACCAATAACCGTAGGGTAAGAGAGTTTGAGTGGCAGCCTCATACTGGCCATTGCACTCAAGATGGATTTTAAAATGTGAATTTATGTAGATAAGTATGTACACTGGATTGTACCAAGCATTATTGAGAAAAATAAAATAAGGGTTGTAGATAGAAGTAAAATTTACGAGCCGTGAGGTGATCGGCAGCTTAGCATAGTTAAGCTTCTGAGGCGTTACCTAGAAGACGCAGGTTCCAATCCTTCAGCGCCGAAAGTTTTGTTCATTTATCTATAAAAATACACATTTTAAAATCCCATGCAAGATTAATAGAATGATAAATATTATATATCATGTTAATTGATGGTATTTTAATAAAGGCAGTATTCATTTTGATTCTCAGTATCCTTACAAATCCAGAAATCATGAGGCAACTTCAAAGTTTACAGGCACAAATGCAAATGATGACTGGTATGCAAATCCCCGTGAGTAAACCACTTATGTTATTTAAAAATTATTTTATTAGAAGAATTTGCAATCAAAAAAGAAATGAGGAAAGTATTATTAATTTAAAATAACTTAATTATAATATTTTTTTATTACAGAACTTAATGCCCATGATGTCGGATATGCAATTGCAACAGAATGCTAATCAAGGTCTTCCGTTTTTGGTGAGTGTCTTGTATGTCAATGAAAAATAAGATTTCCCTAGACCTTCTCTGAGAGGCACAAGAATAAAAGGGTTAATTGAATAAAATCTTTCACATATTGCTGAATATCTGCTGTTAGATAGATCACAATAATGATATTATTAAAAGAATTGTTATTAAATATTCAGGTGTTGTTTCTTGTAAATGAATTTGAAAATGTCGGGTTACAAGTTACAAAGTTTATTCCATGGTTGCGTAATCTTGCCGAAATTATCATAATTGAAACATAATCGAAGCGTAGATGACACGTGAGCTAGTCCGGAATACGGAACATGGGTCTATGAATATATTTCTCGGCCGGTAGAATTCCCAACAAGAGTGTCAGAAGCAGGGCGAGCCCAAGGAGGACATGGCCAACGAGTCGGACATCGAGTTCGTGGAGACGGGGCCGCAGGTGATCGAGATCCCCGACGCCAACGACTCGAGGTAGGAGCGGGAGAGCGAGAGGGGCGATGCGCGAGAGGGACGGCGCGTGAAGGCAGCGTGGCGGTTGGTTGCAGGAGCCCGTCGCCCGGAGGCCGGCGCCGGCACCGGTCGCGCTCGCGCTCCAAGTCGCCGCGGCGGCGCCGGGCGCGCTCCCGCTCGCGCTCGCGCTCGCCGCGCCGGCGCCGCCGCGAGCGCGAGGCCGAGCGCGAGCGCCAGCGCGAGCGCGACAAGAAGGGCCTGCCGCCCGTCAAGAAGGACAACCTCAGCGGTACGCACAAGCCCCGCCCCTCCGCGCCGCCCGCGCCGCCCGCCCCGCCCGCCCCTAACCGCCGCTCCCGCCGCAGTGTGCAGCACCACGCTGTGGGTGGGCCACCTCTCCAAGCTGGCCACGCCCGAGGAGCTGTCCGACCTGTTCGGCGCCTGCGGCGGCGTGCAGAGCATCGACGTGGTGGCGCCGCGCGGCTGCGCCTTCGTCGTCATGGAGCGGCGCCGCGACGCCGCCAAGGCGCTCGCCAAGCTCAACCGGCACAAGCTGCACTCCAAGGAGATCACGGTGCGCCTCGCGCCTTTGGCCTCTGGCCTCGGCCCGCCCTGGCGCGGCGCGACCGACGCGTTCCTTCGGCGCAGGTGGCGTGGGCGGCCGGCAAGGGCGTCAAGGGCCGCGAGTGGAAGGACTACTGGGAGGCCGACCTGGGCGTGGCCTACCTGCCGTGGGAGGCGCTGCAGCAGCGCTGGGCGCTGGGCGCGCTGTCGCTGGACGCGCTGGAGGAGGGCGGCGCCGTGGACGAGGACACGCTGCCGCCGTGGCTGCCGCCCAGGGTGAGTGGGGCGCGAGGGCGGGCGGGCCGCGCCGCGCCGCTCGCGCCTGACCGGCCCGCTCCGGCGCAGATCCTGCCCAAGGCGGTGCTGGACATGCCGCTGCTGGGCGCGCCCATGGCGCCGCCGCTAGCGCTGGGCGCCGTGGGCGTGCGCGTGCCGCCGCCGCAGGAGCTGCCCGAGCGCGGCGCGCTGGGCGAGGCCGTGTGGCGGCGCCTGGCCTTCGCGCCCGTGCGGCCCGCGCTGCCCGCGTTGCCCGCCTTGCCCGCGCTGCCCGCCTTGCCCGCCATGCCGGCGCTGCCGCCCGCCGTGCCAGGTGAGCCCGAGCGCCCATTGCCCGGCGGGAAAGCGCTGCTCGCTCATAGCCAAATGAACGGTCTCCTGTTGGGAACAGGTCTTCAGCGCGAAGGGCCCCTGCTGGGCTTCCCGGGCGGGGTGCCGCCGCAGTCGCTGCCGCAGTCAGGTACGCCCCCTCCCCGCCTCTGCGCCCTCTCTACCGCTACCGCTAGACGGCCGGGCGACGGAGAGCTTACAGGCGCGTGGGCATGTTGGCCTTGTTGGATTGTTAACCATCAAGCCAACAAGCCAACATGACCACACGCTTTAAGGTACAAGTGCGACGACTTTAAATTTATATTTAGACACTGGTTAAATGTAGTACTTAATGATGCAGCTACTTACGTCCAGTACGTTCTTGTCTGTTATGAAGTTGTGTGCACAGGCATGGTAGGAGGGTTTCTGGGCGGTCTGGTGGGATCGCACGTGGGCGGGCTGGTGCTGCCCCTGCATCATCAACACCAACACCAGCACCATCAGCAGCCGCAGCACCCCGCGCCGGAGGGCGGAGGCGCCGCCACGCCCTCCGCGCCCGACGACGCCATGGACCTGGACACGGACGAGGCGCACGCGGAGGCGCGCGACGCGCCGCTGCTGCCGGACCAGGTGCGCCCCGCCCCCGCCGCCCCGCCGCCCCACTCCGCCCCGCCGCCCCCCGCCGCCCCCCGCCGCCGGCTCACCGCCACGTCCGCTCTGCGCCAGATCCAGGCGCTGCTGTCGAAGCCGCCGCCAAACTTCAAGGCGAGCGAGCCGCCGCCGCCCTTCGACGCGTCGCAGCCACCGCCGGCCGAGGAGAGGCGTGGACGAGGAGCAGCGCCGGGAGCGCGACAAGGAGCGCCGGGACCGGGACCGGGACCGGGACCGAGACCGCCGCGACCGAGACCGGGAGCGCAGAGACCGAGACCGAGACCGGGACCGCGACCGCCGAGACCGGGAGCGCGGCCCTCGCGAGAGGTACGACTGATCCCATATGTCCCATGTCGAAAACTTCCACATTGGATTTTCAAATTATTATAATACATAAGGCATTCTCAAAATGGATGTGTGCTGATTTAATGTCGCGTTAGTAGCGCCACGTTGTATAACACTCGTATTAACCTAGATAAGTGACACTTTTACTTAAAAATACTAACAAACTATGGACAATATACCTAATTTTGTTTATTGCCTGAAATAAAGATTATTGTTATTGATATTATATCTATGTGATAGGTCATATTTTATATGTATTAATATGCATGATCTATACTGTGCTTATATTTTTTTTTAAGAGCAATTATCATTTGTATATCGGTAATAGAAAGTCTTTATTTATTTTTCTTAATTCTAATTTCAATTTTTAATTCCAAAGCGCTACTTAAAGCAATACACTGAATACATCTCAAAAGTTTATATGTGGATAGACTGAAACATTATTTGTTATTTTTATTTCTAATCAAAATATTACATGGCTGTAACATAAACTGTGCATCTGTGATAAAAATTTTGTATCGGTGAAACGATTCGTTGTGACGTCAGAGAACGAGACGACCGGCGCGAGCGAGAGCGCGACCGCGGCCGGGAGCGGCGGGAGCGGGAGCGGGAGCGGGGCGGCGGCGGGGGCGGGGGCGGGGGCGGGGCCGGGGGTGGGGGCGGCAGTGGGGGCGGCGGCGGCGGCGGGGGCGGGGCGGCCAGCGCGCGCGGCCGCGACAGGTCGCCGCGCGACGAGCGCAGCCTGCAGGAGCGGCTGTGGGCGATGGCCAACGGCGCCGCGCCCGCGCCCCAAGGTGCCATTCGCCTTGCCCTCTCGGGCTGGCTACACCGTTATTAACGATGGATCCTTGTTGCTGTTCAAATAATAACTACCCACTTCTGGTGTACCATATAAATAGTTCCGTACAAGTCCTTTATGAGAAATCTTTACATAATCACTTAACGAATGTACGCGCTGTTCGTAGGAGCGGAGGAGCCGACGGCGGATTCGGGCGCGGTGGGCGCCGAGGACGGCGTGGAGGCGGCGGGCGCGGCGGGGGTGACGGGCGGGACGGGCGCTGCGAGCGGGACGGGTGCGGCGAGCGTGACGGGTGCGGCGGGCGTGACGGGCGCGGCGGGCGTGACGGGCGCGGCGGGCGTGACGGGCGCAGCGGGCGTGACGAGCGTGACGGGCGCAGAATCGAGGGCGGCAGCGGGCGCGGGCCCCTGGCCGCGGGCGCCTCCCTTCCGGCCCGGTAAGGGAGCGCCTCTTCTGCGACGTGCGCGGGTGCCAATGTGAACAAACAAAGGCAATATAGCCTTAAAAAACTCATTAACCGTAGCTTCCCATGTTGTGAACATTGTCGGCCCGAGCGAGAGATTTTCCCACTGAGCTGACTTTTTCGATTTAGGAACATGCATTTATGAAGTTTTCAAATCAGGAGAATAAGGACGGGCGGTAATCCGCAACCACATTCACGAATTCATGAACGAACAGACATGATGACTCAACTGATGACAATGATCAATCATAATGTGATCCTGATAAAATTCCGCTTCCTCATCATGTAAATGTTTGTTAAGATTGCAGTGATAGACCGAATTTATTGTCCCCCTATTGCAAAGTGAATGCACAGTTAGCACCTTGCCAGCTGACAAAACTGCCTTCGCTCTCTTTGTAGTCAGCTCACCGAATACCTTTCGTTTTATTGAATTGTTCTAATTATTTAATCCATTGTCAGAATTATGTTACAAAATTCTTGTGTCAATCAACTCTTGTAGTATTTTACCAATTATTCAAATCCGCATCAATTTGTAACTGAGACACTACTACCGTGACACACGTAATTAAATGTAAATTACTCATTTTGCCGCATAAAAATGTTTTGTGATGAATTAGATTTGAAAGAGCGTAGGAGAGTGGACAGCCGCTGTGTCTGTACAGTCTATGCAGTCTATACAGGTGAAAACTTTAACTTTGCAGAGTTAAGAATGAGAGGGCCACCCGCCAGAGCGCCTGCGAGAGGTACCGTAGAGCCGCGAACCAGTAGGTGCCGCGCGCCGCCGATCGGCTGACGCTCTTCCTCTGGTTGCAGGGCCCTGGATGGAGGTGCAGGGGCCGTTCGGGCCCCGCTTCAACGGCATGGGGCCGCCGCCCTTCAGCCGGCCGCCGTTCGAAAGGCCTCCCTTCGACGGCGGGCCCCTGTTCGAGGGGCGCTTCGAGAGACCCCCCTTCAATCGCATGCCCTTCGACATGAACAGGCCGCCCTTCGATGGACCCCGGCCGCCTTTCGATGGCCCTAGACCGCCTTTCGACGGCCTCAGGCCGCCTTTCGATGGCCCGAGACCGCCTTTCGATGGTCCGAGACCGCCTTTCGATGGGCCGCGACCGCCGTTTGATGGCTCGCGACCGCTTTTCGACGGGCCGAGAGTGCCTTTCGATGGACCCAGGCCATCCTTCGATGGGCCTAGACCTCCGTTTGAAGGGCCCCCGAGGCAGTTTGAAGATTTTGAAGGAGAAAGGCCCTTCGACGCGCCACGGTTCGACGGACCTCCAGATTTCTTTGATAGGGGTAATAGGCGGTTTGAGGAAAGGGAATTTAACGAGAGGGGCTGGAATGGAGAAAGAGAAAGAGATTGGGATAGGAGAAACGAATGGGACGATAGAAGGAAGGACCGCAGAGGTAGGGAACAACACGACGATAGAATCAGAGAAAGGAATGATAGGAGAAGAAATGTCGACGAAAGGCCGAGACAACCGCGAGAGGAGAGAAATCCACGAAAGGATAAAGATAGGAAATCTAGGTGGAGTGCGGTCGACGAGATCGTTCAGAGCGAGGAGCCGGAGAGCGTCGAGGAGCCGGAGAGCGTCGGCGAAGACGTGCAAGAGGCGGATCGAAGTAGCGAGGGCGGAGCCATCGCGCTGAATAGCGAAGGCGACGCGGGCGAAGGCGACCAGCCGCAGCAGCCGGAGGAGCCGGGCGGCGCAGGGGGCGGAGGGGGCGGAGGGGGCGATGGGGGCGGAGGGAGGGGGCCGGCGGGGGGCGCGCAGGAGGCCGGGGCGGAGGCGCCGAGCGCAGAGGCCGAGGAGGCCAAGGAGGCCGGCGAGAAGGAGGCAAAGGAGGCCGTGGAGGCCGACGAGGCCAGGGAGGCCAGGGAGGCGCTGGCTTGACAAAGGAGGAAGTGGAAGTACGGGTATTTCCAGTGGAAATGATTCGGGTGACGAGGTGCAGCGCAGCCGCGGCCGCGGCCGTCCAGGGATCGGACTACGCCAAAGATTTTCTTTTATACGATGCAAATGACAAATTTTAAATATACGAGTGCCTTGTTGGTTACCGAAGTGTTGTTTTGCTTGTCGCCGGCGCGTCGCAGAAGAGGAACCCGCCCGGGCGCTCAAGTGGAGCGACTCGGGCCAGGTACGGTCGCTCTCTGATGTCTCTTTCACATGTGCACACTCGCGGTCGAGGACAATCGTGCACGAGATGCTGTTACTACTCTTTGCAACATGGTGAACTTTATTACCGTAGTGTTATTCAAATCCTTCACTCCTTACTCGGTTGTACTCGACCCGCGAACCATTCGTTTTAATGAAAGTGTCGCAAGGGATTGTTACTGTTCCCATTATTTGCGTTATGGCCGACGGAGTGGCGTGTAGCAGAGAAACATTCCCTTTCGGCACGCTATTCGGCATTTCGCTAGCAATGTGTGCAAAGGCCCCGACTGCGACGTCACCCGAATCTACTGGAAATATCCGCAAGAGGAGAAGAGTTCAAGACGACGGCCGCATTGATTTTTACAGTTCCATTTTCTCCGTGTGCTGATTATTATTACAGTGTCATTTTTAAGCCTTATCATCTTTTAGGTTAGCTCTTTTATACTGTCAGTTGTAAAGTTGACAACTTGCTTTTTATGTTTATCACTTGGTGAAGGTAGGAATCGGTAAATTTTATTCTATTTGAATCTATTGCATAGATAACTAACATACTAGTTTAAAAAATATTAGTATATCACTTCGTATACCCTAGAATAGGACATAGATATTTTACAATAAAGAAGAGATCCATTATTGTTTATAAATTGTAACATATTTTTATGAATTGTAATTTAAAAAGGGCTATGTCGAGTTTCGAAAATGCGTAGAATCTTTAATAAACCAGCCCGAAATGTAGATAAGAAATTTAAATGCATGCGTCAGTGTTTGTCATATTTGTGCTTAAATAAAAACTAAGTGTTGATGATGATTTTTCTTTGGAATTCAACATAGGAAATTATGAAGATACTAAGTTTGTTGCCAACAGAATTCCCGGATTACATACTTACAAACAACAGCAACCTAACGGCAACAATGTCCACCGCAGCGTCGGGGCTCTTTGACACACATTGCCTAGTTTGTGCTTATTGTTTTTTTTTAATTGCAGCTCTGATAAAGTCGCAGTGTAATGCCTCCGAAGCCACACTCTGTTGTTATTAGTCATATACACATAAAAATATTTTTTACCTACCTAAATAAAATCGAAAATATTAGTGTAAAAAAGCTTTCCGATTCTGTTTTACGTTTCAAATGTTTTAAAAAAAAGCCTGATGCCCGGTTTCCGAAACACTGATCATCGTAGAAGTCAACTAACCAGGTGTCAAATGGATTTACAAATGTTTTTTTGAGTTGCCAAAAGGATTGTTAAACTCTTTTAAAGTGATTATTATGATCATTAAGGATCATTCTGTTCACATATAGTTAACCTGATATCGATAAAGCGAAATTAACAAGATTCATGCCCGGTTTCTGAAACACTGATCATCATAGAAGTTGGCTATAGCCGGAGCCCAACCTTCAAAAGGTTGTCAACGCATCTGTAACATTCGGGTGTATCAGATGTCCATGGGCGGCGGTATTTACTTAACATCAGGTTAACCGCCTGCTCGCTACGCAAATTTTCACTTAAAAAAATATATAATATATGTAAATTGCAAACAATGCAAGTTTTTTGAAGATCGATTTCGAGCCATGGTTTCATAGAATTTCCAATGATATCAATTTTAGAAATGAAATAAAAATCATAATAAAATTTTTCATACTGCGAAAGTTTTATGTTACATAGGTACTTACTTTTTTGTACAGAACAGCTTTTTATGTAGAGCAGAATAGCTATTCTTTAAAATTACCAAATTTGCTACGAGTAAAAAAACCTTATACATATATTTTACTACAATCATTTTTTTTATAGAGACTACTATCAGGCTTTAGTTTGTAAAAGTCCATCACAAGATTAGGAAGAACAGAGTGATTAGTTGGTGTAAGTTAATTTTTGTAGTACAGTGCAAAAAGAATTAAAACTTAAGGAGGAGAAATTAGAAGGTTAAACCTTGAATTCTTTTTTTTACAAGCATTTGTTGAAACCTGCAATATAGGGATGAGATCGGAAGAAATATATCGATATTTGCAATAAAATAATATCGGCTGCGATATATCGATATTTTCTGTTTAGGACCCGTTTTCCGAAAAAAGCTAAGTCAACTAGTAAATATTTGACATGCCAGATTCGAAATTTCGATATTGCATATTTTATATCTATATATCGGCTAAAATATCGATATTTATAGTCAAGAATATCGATATAAAGGATGTCGAAAAAACATCGGTTTTAACTACAGATAAAAAACCGATAAAGTTGATATTACGTATACATGCTCAACATCTTTTTTAAAATAAAATGAATTTAAAAAAAAAAGTCAAACCCATAATTTTGATGTGTTGTCTCTGCCTGATGGTAGCAAAGAGTCCAAAGGCGAGGAGACCGAATGCTTCGTCGTGAGCCTCGAACTTCAAACCTCGCCTAGCACGCAAGCTACTAACCCTCACCAATGCGCATTCACGTAGTACATTCTCTCAATTCTTCACTGCCAAGTCACAGATTTATAACGGAGTGAGGTTACTTTAGTAACGGCTGTATAATTGTTCAACTTCGCTCAACGTCCGACAAAATCTAAGTTCGGGATAACGGCATAATTTATAAGCTACACTCGCTAGTGTTAGACCGTCTCATCGCAGCCCTATGCCGCTTTTGCCTCCTCTGTGCTGGCTCCCCACCCCATTGATCGGTATTTTTACGACTATGTTCTAGACCTATACAAATAATTTGTGTTTCTTATTTGTTTCCTTTCTTCTACAGACACCGTACACACTTGCCTTGAAAATCCTATTTTTTTTATTTTTTTAAAAAACATCGCCCTTACTTTAGGATAACATTATCCGGACGTTTTACAAACAAACTTCACGCGGACAAACACCCAGATGCGAAACAACTATCTGTGGGTCACACAAATAGTTGTCCAGTGTGGATAGGTATTCTCGAAGTACCTATGATGGATGAGCCATTAAATAAGTTCCACAGACAGATATATATTACCATCGTAGGGGATACTAAAAGACGTACTACAGCGACCGACCATTTGATACACATAAACGAACGCATATTCAAGTTTCAGACTCTTCCCTAGAACAAGATATAATTAATAATTAGTATAGTAATAGTAATTTTTAATCGCTACTTACAAAATTTAATTTTTATAAGTTATTATTAGATATTTTGAACTTAAAATTAATAACAACAATAATTTTAATTTATGTTTATTTTCTGCAGAAGCCCTTTCTTGACGGAAGGCGACAACGCCGCAAACCTGCGCTGTGCTGTTTGCCTTTCAGCACGGAGTTAACTTAACCTTATTACTGAAATAAAAATAAATTATATGCTACGTCTATAAGTTTAGACTGTGGTACGACCACGCAACAGTCTTCACAGTCACGAATGGTCAGGTGTGTTCGGGAATTACCAAGCCGGGAAGTGGCTGTGGAAGTGTAATACTTTTGCGTTTCGCCTAGTGAGTGAGCCGGGGCTCACTTTACTTAAAACGCGTGGTGTCAACGCATCTGCAATCCCGCGGGTGCTCAAATGTGTATGGGCGGCGGTGTTAACTCAACATCAGGTAAACCGCCTGCTCTTTTGCTACCTTCTGACATAAAAAATAAATAAATATGACTAATCATAAAAAAAGATAAATACTCTTCAGAGGTCTCGGCACCATCACGTCCACTTCCTCGTCCTCTTGCACGACCACGCCTGCAACATTCTTCGACGTTTCTTTCACTAAAATTAATGTTTACACACCACAATTTAATTTAATGAATATTTAGATCGTTTAGTAATCCGTACAAACCCTTTTTATATTAGTAACTATAATTATGGGTATATATAGCCGTGATAGCTCAGTGTCCGGGCGCTCGCCTTTAATTCAATATACTCGAGCAACCTGAGTTCAATCCCCGGTGCCGGCACCAATGAAATTGTCAATTTTAAGTGCTGAATTATCATGTGCTCAGCGGTGAAGGAAAACATCGTGAGGAAACCTGCATATTTTCGAAATAATAACAAAAAAAAAATATTTCGAAGATATGTGAAGTCCACCAATCCGCAGCGGGGCCGCGTGGTGGACTATGCCCTGATACCCTCTGTATAGAGGAGACATTTGCCCAGCAGTGGGACATGTATAGGCTGATACTTTTATATATATATATATATATATATGTAAGGGCCCTTGCGTGATAGATTCCCTCGGTTGAAGTTTAAGGATTTGAAAATAAATAGCGAAATTAAATGTTGCGTATAATTTACAAGTTAAAGGTAGGTGTTACAGCTGTGGTAGCCAACAGAGAATGGCCGAAAGCTAAGATGGCGTACAAGACGTTGTCGAGGTGGTGTGATGGACTTTGGGCTGTGACGTATTTTTTCGACATCCAACTACCGGCGTCAACATACCCCCAGCCTTGGAAGCTCCATCTTCCAACGATGAAGCGTCTAAAAGTGGACAGATCTTTGCGAAAGATTTTCGGATAACTCCTGAAGCCGTCCTAATGACGGAAAAAAAAAAACGGAAAACTAGGCGTGATCCTTTTCTGCGGTAGATTGCCCATTATTGGACCGAGCGTTTTAGCTCGTAACCTTCGACAGGTGACGCAGCTATGCACCACTTGTCTGGCGAGGTTCCTGCCTGCGACCGGCCAGTACATTTCGCGCAAGCTATACAAAAGCGCCTGCGGCCCCGCGTGCTGCAACCGTCTGCTCGTACCGAAACAAAAGAACTGATAACCAATGTTTGGAAGAGATTGAAATAGGATGCCTTTTATTATATGCGAAATCAGTCGAATTATTTAAACGTCCACAAACTCGTAGTACCTTATTGTTATCCATAAATAAATTTAAGTTGGACAGTTTATGTATATTATTAA